AAAAAAAAAAAAAAAAAAAAAAAAAAAAAAAGAAACGAAAAAATAAAATAAAAGAGTATGGACAAAGATGAGAAAATTATTATTACTGTTCTCCCCCTTTTTATTCCCCTTACGCGTTTTCCTCATACTTTAGTTTTTTATATTTATATAATGCACTAAAAATGTATATACTATAGTTTACTATTAGTTTTGAAAATTTTTTATTCATATAAAAAACATTAAAACTTCTTTCACTGTCTGCTACAATTTTTAAACTGTTTTACAAATGTTTATGAATCAAACCAATAGACCACGGTAATGATTAATCAGTTAAAATCAGTTAAAAAATTGGTTTTTACAATTGTACTATTGAATAGCTTTAATAACAAAAAAAAAGAAAAATCTATCAATAGATTATTCAATAATTAATTATATGAATATACTGTAAACGAATTTCACGCTGTTTGGCAAATTTTTAGAGCTGGATTAGAAAGTTATATTTTGACTAAATTCTGATTTTATCACCATATAAATTCTAGATTTTATTTATCAAATTTTTAGCGTTGAACTAAAAATTTATTATATTTTAGCTAAATTTTGATTTTACCACTACTGTATAAATTCTAAATTATGATTTCCGTAATTTATTTCAATTAATATTTTATTTTCTAAATTTTAGTTTGGCTACCATTTGTTATCAGGACTCTCACTTTTACGGCTTTTCCCGTTCTTCTAAATCTAAAATCAACAACAAAAACTTTTGTTTTTTTGACGACTGACAATGATTATCCTATTATCACAAGAATCTTACAGAGTTCGTGAAGCACCAAAACCAGGCGCTGCAACAAATCCGAGCAAACGGCATCGCGAACGCTTAAACGAAGAGTTGGAGACTGTTGCAGCGTTATTGCCGTTCGAAGAAAGTGTTATTTCACGGTAAATTTTCGTTATGCTTCATTAATTTTGAGCCTTCCTTTTTTTTCTGTCTTTTTTTTTTCATCTTCGACTATGTAATTTAATGGTAACATACAATTGGTTTTGTTTTTTTATTTTATTTTATTTTATTTTTTTTTTTTT